TAATTTTTTAAGAGTTCGCGAGTTATAAAATTTTGTCCGGGATTATATCCGGGGTATGATCGACATTTTTTCCGGGGTATATTAACAACCAATCAAAACGAACTTCTGCTATGCTTGTCGACTCTCTAAATGCACACTCCCTAAATGCAGGTCATATTAAATTCTCTTTAAATGCAGGTTTTTTTTGGTCCCAAGCTATATAAAATTATAATGAACTTATATTCTCTAAGTGCAGATTCTTTTTAAATGCAGGATTTTTTTTTTTACTTAAGAAAATTTTATAGGTCCTGGCAAGTTGCACTTAGAAAGAGTCGACTATATATTTAAATTGTTGGGTTTTCTTTTGGTAACACATATATATTATTAGCACTATTATATGTCGGGATGATGCTGAAATTGGCTGATGCTAAAATTTAGAGTCTCTATATAAATCTATAATATCTACTAAAATTTACATATTATAATAAAATAAATTAAAATTTTAGCATTATCCCCAATATTATGTAAGAGTAAGTTAATAAAAAAGAGCCAAATTTTTTCTAAGTAAAAGTTTTCTTGAATTTAAGCTTAAATATTTTAACAATTATCTTATTAAATTTAATAAATTTTTTTTTATTTTAATTTTATATAATTTTAAAATTAAAATAAAAAAATTTTAGCAAATTTGATTAAATAGTTGTTAAGTATTTTAATTTAAAAATTAAAAAATTTTACTAAAAACAATTTTTTTTTTTTATTAACTTTTCACCATATATTAATTACTTAAATATTATAGCTATTTTCAAAAAGGTGTAATTATGTTAATTTGATAGTATAAGTATAAATGAGGAAATCAGAGAATATCAGAATATTAATCAGAATTAAACTTTTTATAATTTATATTAATAAATTAAAACAACAGGTACTAGTTAGGAAAAAATTACCAAACATGCAGGTAAAAACATGTGTGGAACATGGACTACTCTATTAGGTTTACCTTGTAAATAGATTAGCCATGTATAGTTAGTTAGTTTTAAGACAAAAGATTGATAAATCCAAAAATGGTTAGTAAGTCCTAAGGTAGGGTGCGAAATCTATAGGTGTCACAAAAGCTACCATCAAATAGTGAGTTACACCTTGGTTAGACAGAATGTAGCTAGTGGTTGTAACCTGAGGGTTTAAATGGATACCCCTCTAGTTAGGGTACAGGTACGGCAAATAGTGTAGAACCTTCAGGCAGACTACTTAAATTAGGCACTTAAAAGGTGCACATGTGGCTATATGTACTCTCGTTATAACTAATATGTTATATATCTACTTAATAAAAAGTCCCTAGGTCATAGAGGTTACCTTAATACTAAAAAAAAAATAATAATAAATTAAAACAATGTTGTTTTTATATATTATACACAATGTCTGATTAACAATTTACAAAACTTAAATACAAGCGAGGAACTTGCTTTGGCTGTCAAACATGTTTATATTGTGAAATTAACTTGCAATATCAAAAATATAATTGTATATTAATTTAATCACCACATAGACTTTATCAAACTAAAAATGTCAAATATGCATATACCAAAATTTTTAATTCTAATTGAACTAGTGATCAACTTTTTTACATTAAAGAAAAAGTAGAAATGTTCAATTATTCGATAACTTTAAAAAAAACTTTTAAATTCTTACTCTGTTTACGATGCAATAGTACTTTATCTTGATTAATCTCAAGAAGCAAAAGTTTTAAACTTGCAAATGATGCAATAATAAATAAATCTGAATCTGAATCCTCTAATCTACAAACATTTCAAGATATAGAAATTTATAATCTTACTATAGCAGAGGATGAGACAAACTTATCAGGAACTTTTAAATCTGATGAAAGTAATAAAATAGATACTTATTCTACTGATAAAAATATTGAATACAGTCAACTCTGGATATAACGAACTTTTTTATAACGAACTCTGGATATAATGAACCCAAATTTTTTAAATTTTAATATTAGTTCGGTATAACAAGAGCTACAGCTATTAAGAAAACATAGTAATTCTATATAATGAACTTTTTTTTTGGCCAGAACCGAGGGTTTGTTATAGAAAGAGTAGACTGTATAAGTTTCATTATGGAGGTTTTTATAAAACTAAATAGAAAATTTCAACCTGCTAAATAGTATATAGTTACAGTATCAGAAGTTGATAAACTTCTTGCAGAAATTTATACTAATATAGTTTCATTAACAAAAGATGAATCAATCAAAGTATGTGATTATCATATAGCATTTAAAGAAGAAAAGGCTAAAGGTGCTAGAACTTAGTTAGCTAATATTCAAGATTTTTAAAAAATTCTGTTTAGATTAGATAATACAAATAAAATTTAATGGTTTCATAACATCTGAAAAATTTTTAGACCTGGTTGCCTGGAGGCTTTTTATATATGGGCTGCCATCAATAGAAATCAGGCAGATTGACATTTTAAAAAAATTCATGCCTCAACTTTTATAGCCAATATCTCGATGAATTTTGAAACTATTTTGATAATTTAATATTTGAAAGAAAGATTAAGTTCTAAGCTTTCTTTTAAATATTTAATTATCAAGATAGCCTCAAAATTCATCGAGGTATGAGCTGTGAAAGTCGAGGTATAGATTTTTTTAAAATGTCAATCTGCCTGATTTCTATTGATAGCAGCCCATATATATATAATTTTTTATAAGTACCCGGCCCTATTAGGTACTTATATATATATACTGTATTTACCAACTTGAAAATACTATTACATACAGCAAATACTAGAATAGATGAGTGCATATGTACATATTAAAGAGACATGATATATATGTTGCGCCTCAGATTAATTTTTGCACCTCAGATGAGATATGTACAACATAACTCTTTATTATATAAACAAATTAAAAATTCGGGCAAAAATTCCTCAACATATAGTATAATCATATCAAATCAGCATGATTTAAAGATATTAGTGAAATTAGAATAGTGAAAATTTCAATGCTATAGATGAAATTGGTATTGAATTAGTGAAATTGGTAAAATCAGTATCTCTAAGCACAACTCATCTATCAGATACATAAACAAGCTATTTATGCAAATTGCTATTTGAACTATTAAAAGTTCTCTAAATTGGTAAATCTAAATAAAAATACAAACTCTTAAAATCATATTTTAATTGTAGTGACTTATCCACAATCTTGATGCAATAAAAATTGTTGAAGCTATAAATTAATAGTTTCGAATAGTATAAACTTCTGAATTGTATTATGCTACTCAATAAATTTAAATACTCTTTCAAAGATTCTACCTACGCCATTACACTATTATATGTAAAATGAACTAAGATATAAACTAAAATTTAAATTAAACATTTGCTCTTACTCTTTGTCTTCAAGTTTTATTTAATAATGATTAAATGAAAAACTAAAGAGGCAGCTTGATTGTTACAAACAAAATGTGACAGTAATTATTTATTTTTATGATTCACAAAATATGTTACAAAAAAATATATACAAAAATGAAAAAAGTGAATGTTCCTATTAATCGTAATTTATAATGCCAATAAAATTTTGAAAATAAACGATTGTTTCATCTTCATTTTCCCAAGAGCCTAAATTCTCATAATAGCAAATCTTTAATAACACATAAATGTTTTGCGCTTATAATTTTTGACTTTAAATCAAAAATTTTCAAGATAAAAAACTTTTTCAAAACTTTCTATCTCAATAGTTTTTTAAAAATAAACAAACAGTTGGCAATTTTTATTAGCTTCTACATTATTTTATAAAATAAATTATGAAAATTATATTTTAATAATGTATGATAATTAACAAAAATAATATCAAACCATTTGCAGCTTTTCCACTTCTAATATCATCATTTATATTATTGTGCTAATGAAATTGTCTTGTGATTATAGTTAATTTTGTAGCAACTTGATATTGCTTTTTTGTATTTAAATTCATTTTTAGATTCAGACAAATATACCAAGTACAAAGAGACTCGATAATACAAACTTTCCTCCATTCATGCTATTGAAAAAATACGCAATCATAAATAAAATCAATATGTAGCTCGAAAAATAATTATTATCAGAAACATATAGGACAGGCTATATCAATACTTATAACAAAAGAAGTGCGTATTTAATTAGAATTAGCTTTAATGCTCAACAAATAAATAGGTCAAGTAAATATGCTCATACTACACTAAAAAAAAAAATCATAATATGCTTATTAATTATATATAAAATTGCATTCAATATATGCCTAAATAGCTTAATTTATATTGGTAATATCTCATATAGGAAGTCCAGGCTAGCATCAATAAATCTTTCAAGACCACTTGAAATTTACTAATAAAGTCATACTACATAATTCAGAGTGTTTCTAATTATCTTTAAAGTACATGAAATAAGATTAGTGCTAGATAACAATAAGAGAGTTTATAAATATGCATACATTATATAAATAGCATAATTAAATGCTTACCTAATTGCCTTTTTACTAGAGTATTAATTGAACTCTAATCAAAATTGTAAAAATTATTTTTTTCGCAATTATGCAAAAAATTAATTGCTATAATTTTTGTCATATGTCAAACAATTAAAATCAATCAATTGAATCCCAATTAGTGACAAAATAATTGCAATTAATTTAATTTTCTTTCACTATACAATGTAGAGGCTGCATACAATATAGTACCTAGTATAACAATTTTTAAATAGTAAAAAACTAAAAATTACATATTTACAGTCTGATGGCAAATATAAGATACATAAGCTAATTACAAAAAAATTGCAATTAATTAACTCATTGTGACTACACCACTAGTTCAAAAAAATTGCCCTTATAACTTCTACCTAAATATTGACTTCTTGACTTTGCTTTTCACTTTATAGTACTTCTAGTTATAAATCAAACTAATTGAGGTGTTTTTTGATTTATATCTGAGTATTGAATATGGTGCTCTATAGAGTTGATTATTAATCAGTCCTATCAAAAGCTAATACAAGAACAAAATAGACATTGCTATTTTTGCTAACCTAATTTATACCCAGGTATAAGTCAGGATTTTTGTGCGATGGTATTGAAATATATCCAGGTTATTAATCTGGGTACTAAATGCAGTGCTCTAAAGTAAATCTCCTTCACATGGTTCGGTTCCTTTCTTAATAAATCCAATCTCTATCTAGAAACAAAAAAAATACAAAAATCATCAAAAATTTTTTCAAAATTCCAGTACTAGCCAACTTCAATTTAAGCTACTATATTAATTTTTCTATAATTATTAACCTAAAACTAGTAAAGAATACAAGTAAAAAGAATCTGATAAGTTTTGTAATTGTTAAATTATTAAGCTACTTAATTTTTAAACTCAATATTAATCCTCTCTTAGCTTTTTTCAGAAAATCACTTCTAATAAAGTTAAAGATTAATGGTGGGTGTCCCATTTATTGGATGTGTTCTTGCTCATGATTAGCTACATTTCCTTTTAGACTAAAGCAGAAAAGATTTTCGTCAAAAAATCTTATATTCTCTTAAGCTTAAGCTTATATATGCTATATGCACTATATGCACAGTATGCGCTAGATATGAGCATGCTCCAAAAAATTTTTTATCGTATTAAGGTTGTATTTATAAGATTTTTAAGTTCACCAACTTTTGATTCCATAGTTAGATTATGAAAATATGCTAAAAATATATTATTTTAAAGTTAATAAATTCTCAGATCATTCTCAATTATAGCTATGCTTCTATAATTAGATGATATACTCTTATCATTTACTAAATATATGTTAAACTTTATAATAAAAATATAATATATTTACCTAGGTGCTGCACAAAAAATGCGCGGCAGGTCCTTAATTTGATTGGCTAATGGCCAAAGATCTTCGAAATTTTGGTCTGCATTACAAAATTGTTTACTAAATTCTGGCCAGAATTAACTTTTTAATTTTTTCATTACAAAAATAAAAATTTTTAAAAAATAAGCATGCATTATGATAAAATCAACCCAGGAACAATTTTCACTTAATAGGCGGCTGTGATTTCATTAGCAAAATTATGAGTAATTCTGGCCTGCCGCATATTTTTCAATTCTTGATATTAACCATAGCTAAGTATCATAGCAGATCCTCGGAATTGATTGGCTAACAGCCAAGAATCTTTAAAATTTTGGCCCACATTACATAATTGTTTACTAATTTCTAGCCAAAATTAAGCTTTTTAATTTTTCTTTACAAAAATAGAAATTTTTTAAAATTAGCCCAGGAACAATTTTCACCTAATTTTTGATCGTCGCTCTTAGCCAATCAAAATTAAGAATCTGCCATGACAATTTTATTGCGGTTAATTCTTTTTGATAGACGGTTTGAATTTCTTAAATCTTTGAGTAAAGTTATTTCGATACTCACCAAGTCAAATTTGATAAACTTTTTTTATTTAAATTCTACAAATCTGTAGAATCCAAATAAAAAAAAAGTCATTGAATTTGGCTTGGTGGGTGTCATGATATCTTCACAAAGTTTAAAAAAAAGTTTGGTGCAGCACTTTTTGATAGACATTTTGAATTTTTAAATCTTTGAGTAAAGATATCATGACACCCACAAGCCAAATTCAATGAACTTTTTCTTTTATTTAAATTCTACAAATTCATAGAATTTAAAAAGTTCTTTGAATTTGGCTTGCTTGGTGGGTGTTGAAATATCTTCGTTCAAAGATTAACAACAGTTTGGTGCAGCTCTTATAATAATAGATGGTTTGCGTTTTTTAAATCTTTGAGTGACAATATTTCAACACTCAGTTTCACTACATTCTAGGTATTTTTTCTAATAAAAATTCTAATATTAGATTTCAGAACTTTCGCCAAATTTCGATTTCGCCTTTCAAACATTTCGGACATTTTGCCAATTTCGCCAGTTTTGAAATTATCAGATTTTAGGCTTTTGGGCGAAATATATTTCGCCCTATTTCAATAATTTTGCCCACAACACTATAATAAACTATTATATAACTTTGCGAAAATATAGTCATAAGATCCAAAATATTACAAGAAAATGAATGACAGAATTTTTTTCAAATTCTGAAACAGACCGGTTATGAGCATAATTTATTGGTTAGTATTAGCTCTATATACCGAACTGTTCAGTATAAAAAGAGTAAGTTATATAGCGAATTTATTTTATACCGAACAAAATCTTCCAGAACATGCAGTTTAGTATATCTAGAGTCAACTGTATAGAATAGTTAAATAATACAAATAACACTACAAATTAGCAAATAGTGTGAAATACTACAAAATAACA